CCACCTTCCTCTACTCCCCTGCAAAGCCTCTGGGCGCCTGCAGCCCCTGCCCGCCCAGCAGAGGGCGCCAGGGAGCCTGAGGGGAGACAGGATGAGGGCCCCACCCATCCCTGCAGGCCTCCGCAGAGGGGGTTGAGCGGTCCGGGCAGCTGAAGTCAGCGTGAGTGACCAGCTCCACCCACAGCCACCTTGACCAGTGCGGAGGAGGCGAAGGCTCCTGGGGACACACCCCCCGGTCCTGCTCTGACCTTCCCCCAGTCATCCCCACGCCAGGCCCTTGACCATACTCCCGGGGACCCCAGGGTCCGCTGCCCACCTGGGAAGCAGGACCGCTTGTGGTGGAGCCTGAGCGACCAGATGCAGCCCCTCAGGCCTGGGCAGCCAAGGGCACGGCTGTCCATAGCCCAGAAAGTTCCAGGCACTTGCCCCCACGAACCTCCATCGGCCCTTCTCGCGCACATCTCGCCCCGGAGCCACGGGGAAGTGTCACCGGCGCGGGGCCTGGGAGGACAAGCGCTGACCCCAGTGCCAACAGCCGGCTCGGGCGCCGCAGGGCTTGGTCCAGATGAGGCCCCTGCCGAGTTCCACCTTGGGATGCCCAGCCGCCTCTGCCCGCCCGCTCTCGGAGGGGCCCGGCCCATCAACACTGGCCGCCTGGCCTCTACCGGGAGGCCGGTGGACCCAGAGCACCTCCGTCTCCACAGGCAGGGGCCAGGCAGTGAGGCGTCGCCCCCCCCCCCCAGGGAAGCCACGCATGCTACAGGGGGCCTCCCCCGAGCTTAAGAAAGCGGCCCCCCACCACGTGCCAGGACCACCTGCCCCCCGCTGCCCCGCGGGTGGCAACAGCTGCAGGCCGTCGCCTCGCGTGGGCACCGCAGCCCCCGCTCCCGTGAGGCCCAGTCCAGAGAGAGCTGGGTCTTGGGGGCTCCTTGGGCGCCTGCACTTCCACTGAGCCCCACGGCAGCATCACCCTGGCTAGCTCAGGCCACACCCCAGCACAACTAAATCAGAGTTTCCGGGGGTTCTTTATGTCCCGAGTGGCCAAACTCAATCAGCACACCGCGCCCCGCCCCAGTGTGTTCCACCCGCCTCACGGACGCCCCGGGGACAGCGCCGTGGTCAGGGCTGGCCTCAAGGCAGCTAAGGGCCCTCCCGGCCTCCGCCCCGGAACCTCTCCCAATCCAGGTCAAGCCCGGCAAGCCACGCGGAAACCCCCAGGTCTGCCACCCCAACAAGGCCCTTTGACCCAGCCCCCCTTAACAGAAGTCCTGCTCGAAGCAGGGAAGTGTTGAAAAGAGGAAGGCAGGTGAGGCAAGACAAGCGGCTGCCCACGCCCGCAGCCCTGCCTCAGGCCGCGGTGGCCGCCCTCACCGCTGCCCCTGCAAGCCCGGCCGCAGTAGCCTCTGCAGGCAGGAGGGCTGGGGGCCTCCGGAGGCCTGGGCGGGCCGGGCGGGCGCGAGGGGAAGCAGGTGCCAGCCGGGCGTGCGGCTGATGCTCCGTGTGGGTGGCCGGGACGTGGCAGGCAGGACAGGAACAGAAGCGCCTGACAGGATCTGGGGATAGGCTGGGGTCACCCCCGCCCCCTTTCCTTCCTCCTCTGTCGTCCCCTCCCGGAGTGGGGCAGAAGCCACCATCACTTCCTGAAGGCAGCGGCCCAGGTCTGGCCCCACCGCCCTTGGCCGCCCCGCGCCTGCAGCCATGGTGAGTGGCAGTGCCCTGCAGAGCCCCCCGGGCTAGAGACGGGGTGGGAGCTGGGGCCGAGGGGAACCAGGGCGATCCCGGCAGCAGGGTGGGGTATGGCTGCCCAAGGTCCAGGGAAAGGGGGTGGTCAGCACACCCCTCTGGGGCGCCTGGGCCCAGGGGCCCCGTGGCAGGCTCAGGCTGCGACTGAGGGCCCGTGGGCTGCCCAGGACCCCCGCCCGCCGGCCCGCCCGCCCCCGCCAGCACCACGGGCAGCCTGCAAGCGGCACTCAGGATGAACGCAGGGTTTCCTGTGGGGCCGTGAAGTGGGTCGCCGACCTAGGTCCGCCCACCCTGCAGCCGCCAGCCTGGCTGGGCCTGTGGGTCACGGGGAGCCCTTGCTCAGCCCCCAGGAGGGGCTTTCGGAGAACTTCAGGCCCCAGGAGGGAGGGGCCCGCCCCGTCCTTGGGCGGGCAAGGGTCCTGCAGTTCTGCCCCCAGGTGAAGCCGAGCTGGGCGTCTGCGTAAGGGGCCCTGCTAGGTCAGAGCAGGCCTGGGCTGCGCCTCTGCCCGTCCGTGGCCAGCTGGCCGAGGCGCAGATGATACACGCGCCTGTCCATCCCCTGGCCGCCGCCGGCCCCGGGGGCTGCAGCCCGGCCTGAGGCTGTGGGCGGCGGCACTGGCTTCTCCCTGCTGCAGGGGATGTGGCCGGCGCCCGCGCCCCAGGTTCCCTCCGTTTGAGCAGCCTTTGGGCGCCTCCTCGCGCCCGGCCCTGGGGGACAGCAGTGAGCAGCGAGTGGCTCTCCTGCGGCACTGGGTCTGCAGGGCCGGGGGCAGCGAGGCGACGCCCCAGGAGTTGGCCACGTGGGGGCAGGCCAGCGGGCGGGCGGGCAGCCGCTGGGGCTGTTAGTGCGGCCTGGCAGAGGGGCGCGCCCCGGGGTGTGCGCACGGAGAGCGCCCAACTGCTCAGGGGTGTTGGAGGGGCGGGGGGGGGGGGAGGCGGGGCGGGGAGGCCGGGCCCACGCGGTGGCGGGGCGCTGTCTGCTGCTATGGGGGGACTGGCCCAGGTGGGGACAGCGGCACAGCGAGAAGTTGATGAGAAGCTGTCTGAAATTAGAGTAAAGGTGAACTGGGGACACGGGGATGAGGTGGTGGGGCCCAGGATACGCGGGAAGCAGCTCCCACCGAGGGGAGCACTGTGGGGCCATCACGGGCGCCTGTCCTGACGGGGTGCGGCTGGGTGCAGCTGGGGGCGCCAGGGGCTGGAGATGGGTGGAAGCGCCGGCAGGTGGGGTGCCGGGTGGGGCCTCTGTGCCACGGCCCTGCTGACCGGCTCTTGTCCCCCAGGGGAGCCAGCAGGACTTCCGGAGCCTTCAAGCAAAATTTCAGGCCTCTCTGCCTGAGACCAGCGACCTGCCCAGGAAACCCCCAAAGCCGGAACTCAACAAACTCAAGAAGCCCCCCCAGCCTGAGCACAGCGCAGTGCCCAGGAAGCCGCCCCAGCCCGAGTTCGCCGACCTGCCCCCACGGCCCCCCAAACCCGAGTTCGGCGCACTCGCCCACAGGTTCCCACAGCTGGAGGCCACCCTATCCCCCAGGGCGCCCCCACTGGCCGAGGCCTGGCAGCCCGCGCCCAGCGCGCTTGTCCACCAGCCCCGGAAGCCCGAGCTCAGCAGCACTCCCCAGCCCCCTGCAGACTCCAAGGCCAGTGTGCCCCCCAGGAGGTCCCAGCAGCCTGAGCCCAGTGAGGCCACTCTGAAGCCCGCACAGCTGGAGCGCAGTGCCTCGCCCGGGAAGCCCCCACAGCCCGAGTTTTGTGCACCCCGCAAAAAGCCCTCCCAGTCTCAGGTGGGGGGGCTCCCGGGGAAGTCCCTGCCACAGCCCCAGTCCAGCGAGGTCCCCAAGGCCCCCCCGGGGGTGCCGGAGCCCAGCGAACCCCAGCCCCACGCCCTGAGGCCCGTGGCCAGCGCCCACCCCAAGAAGCCCCTGCTACCCGAGTTCAACCTCGGAGGGCCCCCGCAGGCTCAGGCCAGTGGCCACCCTAGGACGGCTCTGCCACAGCCCGAGTTCAGCAAGGCCCCTCAGATGCCGCCCTGGAAGTGCGAGTTAAGTGAACCCCACCCCCACCCCTCACAGCCCAGCCTCAGTGCATTTCCCAGAAAGCCCCCACAGCTTCAGCTGAGTGACCCCAAGAAGCACCCCCAGCCTGAGGCCGGTGACCTTACCAGGACATGCTCAAAGCCTGAAGTCAGCTCGTTTCCCAAGAAGCTGCAGCAGCCCGAATTCAAAGCACCCCAGAAGCAAAGCCCCCAGTCCAAGCCGGGTGGCCTCCCCAGGACCTCCTCCGAGCCTGAGTTCTGTGTGCACCCCAGGAAGTCTCCACAGCCCAGGCAGCACCCTCAGGCCGCGTTCTTCACTGACCTGCCCAGAAAGCCCCCACTGCCCGGCTCGGCTTCCGAGAGCTCACTGCCCACGGCCACCGCAGGCCCCCGCGCCAGGCTGCCGCTCAGCCTGGGGCTTGGAGCCGGGCGCCAGCGGGCAGGCGCGCTTGCCTGCAGAAGCGGGTGGACGCGGGGCCTCACGCCTGGCCACGCGCCCCGGCGGCGACCTCTGCCTCCGGCCAGCAGCCTGGGACCCCCTCCCGCCAAGCCCCCGCCGCCCCCAGGCCCTGTGGATCTCCAGAGTTTACGGAGTCCCGCGGCCTCAGGTGGGTCGAGGCGGCACAGAAGGGGACAGAAGGCCCCTTGTGCCCACCTCACTGCTCCTCTTTTCTTCCACAGCTCTCAGGAGAACCCGCTCTTCTGCTGGGGTCCTCTTCCAGGTCAGACAGCCCGAAGACGCCCCTGGGTGAGTGTGGGGTGTAACGGCAGACGGGCAGGTCACGGGGCTGCAGGAGGCCCTCACCTTCGGCATCCCTGCAGGGACCTGGAGGAGGTCTACGAGGTGTACGATGACGTGGAGCCCACGGAGGACTCCAGACACAGCCCCAAGGGCAGAGGTTTGTTGGCGCCGGGGTGGGCCCCCAGCCGGCCCCTGCTGGGGCGCGGGAAGCGTTCCTCGGTGCTCGCCAAGGTGTTTCTGCTTGCTGCTGGGTCAGGCCTCCCAGCAGCCCTCTCCCTGCAGCTGCAGGGGAAGGAACGTGACAGGGCCGTTCCGGCAGGCCACCCCGGAGGCCACCACCAGCATGGAGTGGCCGGGGCAGGAGCGGGGCGTGGCTGTGGCAGTCAGGTGAAAAGCTGTCAAAGGAGCGTGGCGGCTTGTGACAGGGCCAAAGACATCGAGGGGTGCCAAGGGTGACGTCAACTGCCTGGTGCAGGACGCGGCCACCCGAGCAGGCTGAACTCAGGCGCTCGGGCTGGCCACGGGCACAGCGGTGCGGACCCCCGCCCACGTCTGCTCCGAGAACAGGGCAGCCTCGCAGCCCTGCCCTTAGCCCAGCCCCGGTGACTGCCTCCGCCCAGCACAGACGTGCTTTTACATGCGGGCCGCTCTGCACGGCCAGGCCCCCAGGCAGTTAGCCCCTTTCCAGGCATGGACGCTCAAGGACGACATGTAGCCCAGCCCAGTTCAGAATCAGCGCAGGGGCCAGGCCCGCTTCTGCCAGCGGGCGCTCCTGCCCTCTCTCTGGGAAGAGCCCGACAGCTGAAGTTGCGGCCACAGGTGCCCCGGACATGTCAGCACCTGCCTCCCTCCCCTTCCGCTAGCGCTCTCCTGCCTTCCTGGGTCCTCTGCTTCCGGGCTTTCTCCAGGAGCCACTTGCAACAGGTCTGTTAGCACAGAGCTTCCTGGGAGGGCCCCTCCTGTTGCTTCTTCCTGAGGCCCGTGGCCCGTCTCCTCCAGCCCATTCTGTGCCAGCAGACACTGACTAGAGCCCGCGCTTCCCCAGACCCCTGCCTCCCCGAGACGCTGAGGCTCACAGGTGGCGTACCTCGTGCCTTGCTTTAAAAGGTTGCTTTCTTGGCTCTTTGCCAAGTCTGTTGCCCCTGAAGGACTCAGGGCTCCTCTCTGCCACATTAAGAAATGGCCGTGCCTCTCCAGAACTTTCCCTTGCAGCAGGGGGGCCTCTCCTGGAGGGGAGCTGGGATCTGAGCTGGCTCCTCAGGAAGGACAGGGTCTGAAAACACTTGGGCCGCGCGCCAGGAAGCACAGGCCCAGCATAGGGCTGCGTGCTGACCCAGACATGCTCAGCTGCTTTGAGTCTGTAAGGTTCCTGGTGAGACACAGGGGTCCTGGAGTCAGGACTGCCCCCAGCGGGGCCGCTGGGAGGCAGGAAACGCTGGATGCAATGTTCTGGGCGGACTGCAGCCCAGGCTGGAGGTAAGCCCAGCTTCTGAAAGGGTGAGGTGCACCACACAAGCACCCTTCCCTGGGCTGCAGCGTCCAGAGTCCACTTGGCGTCGGCCAGAGAAAATCTGGGGCTACGGCTCCAAATGCCCTGGTGTTCGGGGGACCTCGAGGACCAAGGCAACCTCCCGGCAGCTGCGCACAGAGCTGTAGGTAGGCTGGTCCTTTACCAAGAAGTCGGCCCAGAGTCCAGCCCATCAGTTCGGCCAGTTTAAGCAGCCACCCTATTAGTTCTTGCTCAGAGCAGACTGCATTTGCCTCAGAAAATGCTCTTGCTTGATTTTTGACCCCGATCTCATTTCAACTCCCAGAGCCCCATCTGCTCTAGGAGGCAGACAAGAGAAGGCCTCAAAGACCTGGTGGCTTTAGTTCAGCACTAGAGGCTGGGAGCGCAGTGGCGCCTGACAGGGGGAGGCCTTGTGAGCGATGACGTAAGCTAACTCAGAAGAGCCCACGCCGTGCCCAGCACATGGCACGAGCGAACACGAAAGGCAAGCTGCTGGGCCTGCCCAAGGTCGGCTGGCCTGGGGGCGCCAGCCGGGAGGGGCTAGGTCAGAACAGAGAGCGCAGACTCACGCCCGATCCAGCTACCAGGTCGCGGCTGAGTGACAGGATGAGGACACCCTAACTCAGCGTTCTGACTGCCCCCAGATGAAGGGTCACCCGCCTGGCAACCCCCCCGGAAGTCACCAAGTGTGGACCTCAGGTACCACAGGAGGGAGTGGGAGGTGGAGGGCGCTGCGCTCTGGGCGGACCTCTCACTCACAAGCACCCGACTCCTGTGGGACTTAGGAAGGAGAAGGCCCCCCAACAGCAGCAGTTGACATCTGCAGACCAAAAGACCCTGAAGCAGATCAGAAAGGCCGAGAAGGCTGAAAGGGAGTTCCGGAAGAAGTTTAAGGTGTGGACATGAAGCAAGTCCTGGAGACTAGGTGCTGCCCAGCTAACCAAGGCAGAGACTCCTGGGAGAGAAGCCAAGGGGGGCGGTGGGGAGTCACCAGCCAAAGTTCTGACATCTCCTTCCGCAGTTTGAGGGGGAGATTGTAATCCAGACAAAGATGATGATCGACCCCAATGCCAAGACCCGCCGCGGGGGGGGCAAGCACCTGGGGATCCGGCGCGGGGAGATTCTGGAGGTGATAGAATTCACCAGCGACCAGGAGATGCTCTGCCGTGACGCCAAGGGCAAGTGTGAGTGACCAGCTTGGTCAGCCCTGGGGCCGGGGCCGCCAGGGGCAGAACTGCCACACATCCCCACCCCACCCCCCGGTCTCTTCCAGATGGCTATGTGCCCAGAACCGCCCTCCTGCCCCTGTGAGTGCTGGCCCTCATGGTGGGCAGGTGGGGGGAGAGGTAGGGCAGAAAGGGGACCCCTGCTAACACAACTGTGCCCTCCTCCAGGGAGACAGAGGTGTATGACGACGTCGGCTCCTGGGGTATGTAGGTCGCTCCGGTGCTTAGAAGGGACCACAACACCTCTGCGTGGGGTAAGCGCCTCCCCCCCCAGGCTGCTCACGCTCCTCTGATGGGGGGGGTCACTGCCATCTTTCCTTGGCAGAGCCGCAAGAGAGCCGACCATTCCACGTGGGGCGATGAGGCCCAGGGATGGGGACCATGGCAACCCACCAGCCAGCCACCCCCAGAACGCTGGACCCCAGCTCAGCGGCCGCCGGATTATCCAGGTCTGACCACATACACGGATCACATAAAGCCGCTCTTTGAAGGAATTCTGCTTGTTGTCTCTTCTTTTCTCCCTGACTGGCCCACACACTGGACCAGGATTCTTAGCCAGAGACTTGAGGGGTGTCTACGGGGCTGTCCGACTGCCGTCCCCAAGTCTCACTCCTCAGGGAAGTGTGGCAGGGAATAAATGCAAGTGGGTGGCTGCTGCTTTTCTAAGCTTCAAGGTGGGATTCTGTCAGACTGGACCCCAAGTCAGCTGTCAGCCAGGGCGACATCCCCTGTAGGACACCCCCACATGCTGCAACCCTGCACGTCCACAGCACGAGCAGCTCCTTGTAAAGTGCAAACCCGCCTGGTCCACGTGAACCTATGCACGAGCCCACGGGGTCGATGGGGCGGGGCGGCCCCGTTCTGACAGAGCCCGGCGTCTAAGCTCGGTGGGAAGCTCGACACTGCTCCGCTCAGAAGCCGGCACTCAGCTTGCTTCTCTGTATTAGCGGAGAAAAGCTGCGGCGGCCCGAAGTGTTCTCCGCACTCACCCCACCCCACCCCCACACACAGGCGCTATGTCAAAAGAAGTGTACGCTGGGCTTGTGGGGGTGACCAGTTAACGAGGACGGAGCACTGGTGGGCGGAATTAGTGCCCTTACAACCGAAAGCAGAGAAACGTCCCGGCCACGTCTACCACGGACACCGCCAGAGGCGCCGTCCGCACCATGAGCAGGCCTCGCCGGACCGAACCGCTGAGAAAGAAATGGTTGGAGCCGGCCGGCTCGCAGTGCTGTCGTCGAGCAGCCGGAGCAGAGTAAGACAAGACTGGGCGTGAGCCGGTGCAGTCTGTGTCCTGCCACGACACGCGGCGCGAGGCCAGGCTGCCGGCGTCCGTCCACCCGCCGAGAGAGCCCAGCGCGCCCGCCGACCGGCAACGGAGACTCGATCCCTCGCAGGCCCGGTCTCCCCAGGACAGCGCTCCCGAAGTGGCCTCGGGCCAGACCAGGACACCACTGCCGGGCACGGCTCCCACAGGAGAAAATGCAATGGAGACGCTAGCTGCCCAGACCTCACCTGGCTGTCCCACACAACAGACACAAAAAAGCCATTTTCAGGAACTGGTATTTATTATCAAAGTCATATTCGATGTCAACAAGATGCCACAACTACAAAAAAAATTGCGCACATTGCAATCTCAATGCAAACAGTCAAATGGAACCCCAGTCATTAAAAAAGTAATTCAAATTACCCCAAAAAGCAACTGAATTTTTTAAACATCTTTATACATCCAGCCAACAAATTAAAATGGTTAACAAGAAAAAATACAAATTCAGAGGTCTGGTATCGATGTTTAAAAAAGGCAACTGCTTAAGCATTTCTATCGATTCGAACATCAATCTCTCGGCCACTCAGCTTCATCCCATTCATCATCCGGCAGGCTCGCTCAGCCACCTCTGGCGACTCAAACTTAACCACACCGCACCCCTTGGACTTCCCATTCTCCATCTTGATGTCGGCATACAGCACGTGGCCTGGGCACAGGGAGGGAAGAAGAGACCACAACTCATCAGGCAAACCCAGAGCTCAGCCTCAGTCTGGGCTCCGCTCCGTCCAGATCACCTGTTGGATTTGGTTGATCGAGTCACAGGGGAGGCGGCCCTAGCGCCACAGGGGGAACTGGCTACCACCACCACAGCCACGTTGCCATTCTTCTGCCAGCAGGGCCACATTGCCACCGCGCCCTGGACGCGCCTCCCCGAACTTCCAGTGCACCTCCACACTTGAAAGGTTAAACAGGGTTGCTAAAGCCAAACTCAAGGGCAAATTCAGAGGCTTCCTTTTCAATGCACCATGCCACCCAACAAGGTCACCACCAGCACAGTGGATGCTCCTGTTCTCCAACAGAAGCGGTGAGACAACTGGCAAGCGGGCCACACATATTCAAGCACCTATTAAGCGTCCCTGGTATGTGTCAACACTATGGAAATGAGTCTACGGGGGAAAGTCATAGAAACAAAGGCCTCCTCTTCAGTGTCAAGGTAAAGGGCCTGTCCTACGGGGCCCGCATTTCTAGAGCCATTAACTCTGCCTGAGGGAGAGGCAACATCAGGAGGAAAAGCACTAAAATAGTTTAAGCTTTAGAAGCTGACCAGGCGAAACACGACTGACTGCCGATGACAGCTCCCAGCGGAGAGCTTCCGGGAAAGGCCACCTGCGACTCGGGAGCGGGAGGGAGCTTAAAGAAGGGGCCAAGCGGTAGCGAGGCCTGTGAGTCTGGCTTCCAGTCAGTAAGGCGCACCCCCAGGCACAGATGAAGGACTGGCCCGATCCAATTTGGCTTCTCTGAATACTTAGCTGCCCTTGAAAATCAGGGAGTGAGGGAGAGGGCAAAAACAGGGCAGGAAAGCAGGCTATGGCTCAACAGCTCGCCCGCAGAGCCAGAGAAGTACAGCAGTGGTGAAATCTGAGCCACCGCTGAAACAGGAAATGAGAAAACACTTGCCTGACCCAGCAAGCACTCAGGCCTCGGGTTAGGCTTGACTGGTGACAAAGAGCAGAAACAGTGGGAGTAAGAGTTTGGGGGTCAACTTGAAGGCGGGGAAATAACATTCTGTCACAAAATGAGTCTTCCAGAACGGCTCGGGCCCACAAGCTTGCTATATGCACAGAACCTGTGCTGTGCCTTTATGCTGAATTTGGAAACAGAGAATTCCAGCAAAACAAAGTTTAATCAAGCCCAGTCCTCAGAGAACGCCATTTCACAGCCACCCAATCACAGAGCAACAAGGTAACACTCTGCAAGGACCTGCCGAGCTTCTCCGGTCATCGCTCAGAAGCCATTTGACCCTGGGAATGTGGCTTTACCTGACTTATCTGTAAAAGGGGTTTTTTAAAAACCCTAAAAGGAGAAAAAGGGTGAGGTGGAAAGTGTCCGACACACAACAGGAAGCTCAACAAACTGCTTGAATATTTGCATGGCAGAAAAATGGCAAGTCCCATCGGTTCTCAGAGTCCCTCTAACATGGGTATAAAGTGGCTGCAGACTAGGACGAAGCTTTGCTGCACAGTTCAACCACATCGCTAACAAGCTAAGATTTCTGGAGCCACAACATAAGGAAGCCCCTAAAAAGTCTCCAACACTTACCACACTCGTTGAATTTGTCCTTTAGCATCTTCCATGTGAAATCAAATGGGAGCTGAGGGGAGAAAAGGGAGACCAATCAGTAACTCAACCAAATCGAATGTATGAACATCGCACTGTCTGAGTGAGGGGTGACCTCAATGACTTATTGCACTGAGAAACCGAGTGACTTTCAAAACTGAGACATCAGCTGAGAACACAACAGTTCTGTCAAGAATGAAGCTCTAACCTGTAGAAAAATCACTTCTCGGCCTTTCCTTTGGGCCAAGATCAAGGGTAGTGTCTAAACCACAGTGACAAGAGTTCACAGAACCGCTGGACATTGGCTAAAGATTGCCGATTTGGTAAAGATTTTCAGGTGCAGCTGCTTTCTTTCTGGATTCTTACACCAAGGGGCAGGGCAGCTCTCACCACTCCTTCCTCAGCCTACCCACACCCAGCTTCCGGGGCTAAGTAGCTCTGCGTGCCCCTCAGGCACGCCACCCGTCTGAGGGCACGCTCAGCCTCACTTCCAGCCCCGCTCCCCTCCAACCCCCGTGGAAGATTACGGAAGCGCCCGAGGAGTCACTTACATTTCGCACAAATATCTGGCAGGCCTTCCTGGCCACCCCAGGAGCATGGCCGCCGGCTCCACCAAAGGAACCTGCGAAGCTTCCTCCAAAATTGCCACGCTCCATCTCGATGGCACGATCGAAGCTGGCACCGCCACCGCCACCCATGGCCAGGCCCATCCGCTCAATGCCAGCGCCCAGGGCTGGGCCCATGGCAGGGCCCATGCGCTCCAGGCTGTTGGCGCCCATGCGCTCCAGGCCCATGCGCTCCAGGCTGTTGGCGCCCATGCGCTCCAGGCCCATGCGCTCCAGGTTGTTGGCGCCCATGCGCTCCAGGCCAGTGGCCATGCGATCCATCACAGGGCCCATGCGCTCCAGGCCAGCCCCCATGCCTGCGGGCACCATGCGCTCCATGCTCAGGCCCATCCGCTCGATGGCAGGGCCCATCCGCTCCACACCGGAGCCCATGCGCTCAATGGTCTGGCCCACTCGGTCAATGGGCGCGGCCATGCGCTCCAGGCCAAAGCCCATGCCGGCGCCCATGCGCTCCACGCCGGAGCCGATGCGCTCCATGGTCTGGCCCATGCGCTCGATGCTGGAGGCCATGTGGTCAAGGCCCAGTGGACCCATGCGCTCAATGCCGGAGCCCATGCGCTCAACTGAGCCCATCCGGTCCATGACCAGGCCCATGCGCTCAATCTCGGAGCCCACTCGATCCATGCCGTGGCCCAGGCCTGCGCCCATGCGCTCCATGCCGGCACCCCCAATGCGGTCAATGCCGGGGCCCATCCTCTCGATCCCGGGAACACTGCCTCCACCTCCACCTGAAACAGGGCCACAAAACACAGGCAGACGTCAGGGAGCTGGGCATCTGTGTGCACACCACGCCAGGGATGACCTGGCGCAGAGGTCTGGGCACTGGACAGGTTCAGGCACAAATCAGGAATTACGCCCCGCGGTAACTAACGAATAGACACCCCTAAAACACTGGCAATCGCTACAGGTGTGTAGTGGTGAGTCTATCCTTCTTCCTAATTCTATGGCACAACTGAAATTTTATTTTAAAGATCCTGGAGGATCTGAGTCAACAAAATTACTTCAAAGTGCTAGCACTGTGACAAGCTTGTGTTGGCCTCTGCTCCACAACCCAGCTAGGCAGCTGTTTCCTGGCCACCAGACCTTAAGAAATGCTCAAGGGAAGAGGCACAGAAACCCCATGCTCAGAGCCACCCAGAGTAGCGGGCTGCGGGGGTTATATGGTGACGATTCAAAAT